ACAACTTGTATGCTAGACCCTATAGCGACTAAACTACTGAAAGAGATGCTTCCAGAGGTCATAGATCCTCTTATAACCAGTTCAACTCTGCAGCAAATTTTGAATTTTTTAGACAATTAGGCATATCTGAATTTTGAAAGAGTGTCCTGCCCACATACATTGGAGTAAATGGATAAAAATGGTAAAAATAAAATCATTTTACAGAAAACACTCTAAATTTTAACACATTTTAACAATTGTATTGTATTTATTCACAATGTTTTGATAAACACATATAAAATCTCATTTTTTATAGTTTTTGTTTTTGAAAATCTGTACTTGTTTTATCTATGACTCTTCTGAAAGTTTGTTTCGATTCCACTAGGTGGCAGTAAACAGGGGACTGTATTATTAGGACTTGATAGTACTACTGATACTCAATTTTTATAATTTCTTTCCAGATTACTTACATTTTAATTATGCATTGATATATAAAGACAGTTTAAACAAATTTGGAAAAAAGTATTTTGGGAGAATTCTACCTACCCTGCCTTTAATGTTTCGATCCAATTTGTCTTGTAATGCTACCCAAATCACACACTGTTCCTTCGTTGGCCAGAGGAGAACTGGCCCCCGACTGAGCCTGGGTTCTCCCAAGGTTTTTTTCTTCATTCAATCACCTGATGGAGTTTTGGTTCCTTGCCACAGTTGCCTTGGGTTTTGGCTTGCTTAGTTGGGGACCTTTAATATTCAACAATATTATTGATGTGTGTTGTATTATTTTCATGTTATCACTGTGAAGCTGCTTTGATACAATCTGTATTGAAAAAAGCGCTATATAAATAAAGGTAACTTGACTTGACTTAACACACACACACACACACACACACACACACACATATATATATATATATATATATATATATATATATATATATATATATATATATATATAAGGGGAGTTGCAACACATTTGGCTGTCGACTTTGTTAATTTAGCATGAGAGAGCATGGTTCTTGCTGCTTCAATTAATGTCCTGTTCTTTCTTTCTGCAACACAATTTTGCTGTGGTGTGTGAGGTACAGCTGTCTCATGATGGATACCTTGAACCTTCAAGTATTCTTGAAATTCTTTTGAAGTGTATTCCCCACCATTATCCGTTCTCAGTCTTGCTATTTTCTGCCCGCACTCATTAGATAATGTTTTCTCAAATTCCTTGAATTTGGAAAGAACTTCACTCTGTTTCATGAAGTATACTTTGCAACATCTAGAATAATCATCAATAAAAGTCACAAAGTACTTTGATCCACCTATGGACTCAGTCTGCATTGGACTACAGACGTCCCTATGGACCAACTGTAGTTTACGTTTTGAACGATTTTCTCCAACTGGCTTATGTGGCTTCCTTGACAGCTTGCCTTCCACACATGCTTCACAGAAAAGAACTTCTTTCTCTTCAGGAAAGTCTACTCCATTTACCAGTTTTTTCAGTTCCTTCAACTTAGTGGTGTGTCCCAGACGCTGATGCCACAAACTGGTTTCTGCTAGTGCACTTGACGCACAATGGACACTTCCCTCTACATCGAGCCGATACAATCCATCAGATCTTTGTGTTCCCATTCCTGAGTGCCGGCAGGGCGAGGCGCAGAGGCGGGGCCGGTAGGGCGAGGAGTCTGGGTACGCTCACCGGAGCCTGGCGAACCAAATGAATCCTCCTTCTCCTCCTGCGGCGGCGTCTCACCTGACTGGATGATTCACTCACTTGACTGGATGATTCACTCACTTGACACACTTGACTCGGCACTTGACACACTTGACTCGGCCCTTGACTCACTTGATTCGGCACTTGACTCACTTGATTCAGCACTTGACACACTGGACTCGGCACTTGACTCACTTGACTCGGCTAGCACACGCTCAGACTCAGTAGAAAACTCATGAGGCAGGAATACAACGGAGCTCACGTGAAGTGTTAGAACGACGGGATTCACATGTTGTGTGGATTCAGATGACCCTTTTCGTAGCACTGGTTCAACTGGGCTTTCATGTAGCGCAAACTCGGCGGAACACGTGTGAAGCGCTGGTTCACCGGGAGACTCTAGATGCGTGGATTCAGTGGGTACCTTGTAAAATGCCGAATCGTCGGGTCCTCTGTGAAGCAAAAGTTCTAAAAAATCCACAGTAAAAAGCGAACCGCTCATGGAAAGGGCCAGATCAATATATTGGGAAAGAGTCCAGCTTGAACTCGGAAACGGTATAGCAGAGCCGAGTGGTTCAGACAGTCCTCCCCAAAAGAACATCATTAAACAAAAATCATCCAAGTAGGACTGACGAGAGAGCTTCAAAAAATCCATCACAAAAACCTTGAGAGGACGTTCTCCTTGGCGGAGGCTTACGATCTGTGCTGTGGGATCCATTACGAGGTCCGTGTTCCTCTCAGCCACTGGATCAGTAGTGGCTCAGTATTCTGTCATGAAACTGCACATGGAACAGGGACAGAGGTGATTCAAACGCAGGCTTTATTAAGAGGAGAATCCAGACAGGTACAGTGAAACATGCAGGGGTCAAAACCAGGTAAGCAGTCCAGATCAGCAAACATACCATGCAGGGATTAGGCAAACGGGAAGACCAGATACAGGCAGGGAGTCCAGGAACCATGAAACTAGAAAACAATACTAAGAAAACAGGGAAACCTCGAACCGAAACGGTTCAATACAAATACATATACCGTTACACTCCTAATAGCCAGGCAGACAACAAATTAGATGAGATAGTAGGCTATGCAAGCAATATACTTACTAGTCCAACTGCATGACGGCAAAGTCAGCATCGTTGAGGATCCCCTCCTCCTCCTTAAGCTCACACCAGCGAGCAAACACTGGCCCAATATTGATCCGTGTCCGGCCTCTTGCTTTTCCACTTCCCAGTCTCCTCAGTCAAAAAATTTTACCGCTTCGGCCATAAAAAAAGCAAACGGAAAACAAACACTGGTTGGTTACTCACGTCCGAATTTGAGGAAGTAGTGAGGGAAGTGACGTATGCCGTAAAGCTGTCGAATTTTGTAGGGTTTTTTTTTTTGTGCAAGGGTTCCTCCCCAAAACCCGAAGTTACACAGTGCCAAAAAAACGATAAGCTATGGCAGACGTGTCATTTCACTTATTTTAAGTCGATGTACCATCACAAGGGTCTTGGAAATATATTATTAAGGGTGAAAAACTACATAGTGTTCGGGGCACAGTCTAGCTTCCGATCAGGGTATGGTTGTGTTACAGTTACCACTAAAAAGTGCTCAATGACATTACATCCGCGATAGACAGAAAACAACGCTGCGCTGTTTATTGCGCACTGCAATTTATTGACCTTGCAAAAGCCTTTGACTACGTGGACCATAACACACTCATCCACAGACTTAGCAGCATTGGTGTCACTTATCACTCAGTGGTTTGGTTCTCAAATTATCTTTCTCACCGGGTTCAACGTGTAAGATTTGAAAACCTTTTTTCCCATTCTCTACCGGTCACCAGGGGTGTCCCCCAAGGCTCCATCCTTTTCTCAATTTATATTAATAACATTCCCCAGGAAGTTGTTAATTCATTCACTTATATGCTGATGATAACTCATTCACTTATATGCTGATGATACAATCCTTTATGCCACGGGTTCCTCCCCTGATGCTGTTCAAGCTAACTTGCAAGATGGCTTTTTCCAACAGCAATCATTTACACAACTCAAACTCACCAAAAATAAAACACCTTACCTTCAAAACAAAAACCATGTGGTTTTACCGTAAGGGTACTACGCCTCCTCCAGCCCATTGCCCTCAATCGGGTCATGGGTTTTATACGACCCTAAACAACTTTTACTTAATAAAAAAAAGGTTCCCTTCATCTCAGTGGAATAAGATTTTGTGACTTTTCATACATTATCTATCTATACACACATAAAAAACTGGGCTTGATTCGGTTGTTCTGAAGGTATGTAAAAACAATGTTTAAACTTCTGGTCTTCGAGGTCAATATGACCCCACATTGAAATGAATGGGTAATGTGAAAAAAAAAACACAAAATATATTTTCTTAATGTGTCAAAAAAAAAATAAAAAAATCCGGCATAAATCTGAAAATTTTTACACAGAAATGAAGGCCTAGTACTAAAGCATAAAAGCGATGTATCAGAATAATATTTCATATGCAAGCTAATGGTGTAGTTGAAGAATTGTGTGTATGGATACAAAAGTACTTTATGTCTCCAAAAACACAGAATTAATGAATAGATGAGAAGTAAACAAAAAATATATATTATTTGTAGGATTGAAAATGTATATTTTTTGTACAATTACTCAATCAATTGTTGGGGTTGTATAGACCCCGAAGCCCAGAAGTATATAGGAAACGAAGAAGACCATTTGAAGGTTAAAATCACCACTTGTAAGGGGGCTATTCTAGAACAAGTCACTGCATATAAATGGGCATCTGGTTGGAAATTTCAATTTCTTTCTCTGTCCACTTATCAAAGCTGCAATCTAAGGTGAAGGCCAACCTTGGTTTCCTTTACAGAATGAAGCCGCTCTTCCGTCTCTACTTCTGCCAAACTTACTCTAATTCTAATGACCATTCTACCCATGTTAGACTATGGAGACACTATATACAGGGTTGCTTGCAAGTCCACTCTATAAACTCTTGACACTCTTTACCATTCTATCAGGTTTGCTATGCTCTTTTCAATACACACCACTGCACTTTATATTCATCAGTCAACTGGCCCTCCCTTCACAATGGCCACAAAATTCACTAGTTCACTTTCATTTATAAAACCCTTCTCAGCCACTCATCTCCTTACTTGGGTCACCTGCTGCAGCCAAAGCCTGTCACACATAGGTCACACACAACACCCGGTCCTCACTTCGTCTTCAAGCTTGATCCACACTCCAGTCCAGATGGTGGCGCTAATGCAGCAAAAGGCTGATTGCTAACCGCCATAGAAGAAGAAGTACGGAACATGCGACAAACACGTGATCTGGTGTCATAGATGTGCGCAAAGCAAGCAGCTCAGCCATCTTTTATTTTTATTTTAGTAATAAAACGCTTTTTAAAGCGCGATCGATTGATCCACTGGAAGGTGTGATATGGTCTTCATAGCCTGTAGTCTGAGTTAGACTAGAGAACCGATTTGACTGCTTTGCATCTACACCACCTGTTTGTGGCAGGTCAGTAGATATGTCTTTGTGTATTAAACTGGTTATTACCTTATTAATATCACCATGGTAACCATAGTTTACTCCGAAATGCCGTAGTTATTGTTCTTACTGTAAAATAAATGTATTATTTTGAGATGAAGCTGTAAGAAGCCTTGACAATCCTTAATAACAATGGGATAGTCTTTGGTATTTGCTATTAATTCTATTTTTATATGTATTTCAGGCTCTGGAAGTAAATAGTCATGACAGGTGAGTGTAATGCTTTTAATAAAAACCTCTAAAATAAGATGATGATTCGATAAGATAGACTTGAATTATAATTAGAATCAAAACAAGTTTTATCTCATAGGTTTTTATTGGGTTTAAAATGGGTTTAATTTTTTTTAAATTCCCTAATGTGGTTTAACCATAGACTGTAAAAAATAGGGTTACATTAGCATTGTAACATTAGATACACATAGTCTTGTCTCAAATGTGAATTTTAATGCTGCTGCATTGTTTAAAAAGTTGCTAATTTAGATGGTAAATGGGGAAACTAAATAGCACCAAAGTGTGTCTAGTTATGGCACATCATTAGGCTATTATTAATATAACACAGTTTCTTTATTTTATCTTCAGATAAACTTGCTGCATTTAGTATCTATCGCACATGGTAGGCTGGGTTCAATCCTGCAACTATTGAAGGCATGCACATGCAGTGGAGATGGGTCTATAAAGCTTGCATTTCATTTATTCTGTTTACTCTTTGTTTACAGAGAGAATATTTGTGTTTGTTGATGAAGAGGAGCTTTACAGTATGATGAAGGACCTTGACTGTCTCTACTGTAGGAATCCAGTTACTGCATCTAAACATCACCTCAAAAAAAAACATCTCAGATTCGCTATATATTATAAAGATTCTGGCATTGGTAATTACACACTTCTTCAGTAGTTGTTTTGCGCAGAGATTATATTCTAACGGAGTCTGTTGTTCATGACAGGGAAGTTTTCTATCCCCTGTTACTGTGCGGACGGAGGCCATGGCCGGAGCCACTGGCATTGCCCAATGTGCACCAAAATACTGCAAAGGACAAAGGATTACAAAATACATATTACAAACCATGGTTTGTGCCCATTTATATACATTTCCTATTGGACTAACTTGATTTTACTCATTATAATTTATGATTGAAGATGAATTGAATATCAAATCTGAATTGGGATGTATATAAATATGTTTCTCAATTGTTTGGACCTACTTGTTTATCATTATTGGTGTTGTCCCTATTATAGAATAAAAGCTAACTTTTTAAGATTTAAGTGCATCCACTACACTGGCCATCTTTGTCTAGATTCCAGCTGTTTCTATCACTGCATTTTGGGATGTGTTTAAACAGTATTGAAGGAGTTTCTTCACTATAACTACTGTATAACTACCCTGATTGTGCTTTGTTTTTCTCATTCCTTTGCTCTCCGAGTAAAAAGCCTGCAGTTATTAACATCCTTCATTTGCTCTGTTTCATGTAATCACAGGTGTGGAGATGACAGACCAATCCACAGGTGAGAAATGGCATTTAATAATTTTGGCATTTAATAAATTTCAGTGATGTTTATCCATTGATTGAGTTAATGGCTGTGTCTAAAACCAGAGCAACTGCCCAGTCGTTTAGTAGTGACGAAAAGTCTGAGTGTGAAACGACTTCTGGAAGAAGAACACATGTGGGCGGGGCTTGATTGTGTTCGTGGGGAGTTGATTGGCCAGATGTGGCTTGCTATTGGTGGATCTGATGTGAGTGACAGGTTGCCCCGCCCCCGTCATCAAAGAAGAGATGCAAGAAGGAGGGGAAGTTATTTAGATTGGAGATTACAAGTCACATAAATTAATTCAGGTTTAATTGAGCGGGTTGACCAACAGAAAGCTGGGTTTGAAGTGACTTCAGTGTGAGTTGTGCTTCATACAGCGCCACAATGGACCTTTTTTTGCCTGTGACGTTTCGCTAATGTGAATGACACACTGTCCACCACTCCTGACGTGAGTGGCGCGATGAGTGACAATTATAATCCCATTATTAGGACCCATTATAATCAGTGTTGCTGTGCGTCAAGACAAATCCCCAACAGCAAACTAACGATCTGCTCATGAGGAACACGTGGATTAGCACCGGCTTCCTTGTGGCGTCCAGTATAGAGATCGAGCCGTTGCTGCACGGCCGCTTCCGGTGTAAAACATGCCGTTAAAGACGCACTATGTACGATTTTTGAAACAAAATATCCAAAAGTGAACAAAGGAAACATTTATTTCCCTGAGTGGAATTTGTTTTGCACTCAAAAAAACACTAGATTCTAGAACAGTGTTAAATATTTATTTAGTTGTTTTGAGAACTTACAGTATCCCAAATGTTTCCAAGAATGTTTAACTGCAGAGAAATAAGCAATTTTAACACAGACCTGTGGCGTCTATCACTGACATTATACCCGCTTTACCCTCCATTTCCGGAAGCACCAAAGATGCTTTAATATATTATGCGTTTTATGTGACAGGTGAGCAACTGTTTGGATGCATTCATCTACAGAAATCAAATCAATGTTATACAGCTCAACACAATCCTGTTTAAATCTTGAGCCGTATTTAGCAGAGCGTCGTCTGCGGCGTAACAATAAAAGTGTCGCGCCTGTCTCTCATTAGCAATCGCTCCAGTTACCTCGTTCCACTCCAATGGTTCATGAATCTTTAATACATTACCAGTCATCCATGAATATGATTTTTGCCCCACGATTCTGTCGGCGTCATCAAGCCTCGCCTTTGCTTTGAATAAACAACCTCCACTAGTCCACTAAAACACCACATGTTAGTCCACTAAAACAGTTCACTTGAAGGAGTGGAGGAAAACAAGTGAGTGAATTCGGACAGCTGCTGAGCTCGTTATTTGGTGCATTGTGGGATTGAATGAGTGCACTATGGTTTCGTACACCACTACACCACTACCACTATTTGAGGGTATGGGGGCGATTTCGGATTCAGCCCGAGACTCATTCACTAAGTGTTCGGACACACAAATTTGTGCGTGAAATGTGCGTACAAACGATTTTACGAACAAGTCACGATTCACTAAACTTTTTGGAATACAAAAAAATATATATATTTTTAATATAAAAAATATTCTAAATTTACAAACAAAATAAAGCAATAGCTGAAACTACGCGTACGCAAAAAGTACACTCAAAGGCCTTATAAGTGTGTTAAGAAGTTATATTTTATCCTAACACGACTATAATTATTTTGAATCATGTTCCATGAATTGTATTGTATTATCCATATGTAAATTATTAGGGCTGGGCAACGATCAATCGCATCCAAAATAAATGTTTGTGTTTAAATAATAGGTTACACTTTATTTCGATAGTCACTTTAGACATTCTACTAACTATAAGTAACTTTTCAACTACATGTCAACTAAGTGTCATTAGAGTATTAGTAGGCTGTAGTAGACTGTCAGTAGACTGTTACTGGTTAGGGTTAGGTGTTAGGGTTCAGGTTAGATAAACAAGTTGACTTGTAGTTGCTAAGTTACTTACAGTCAGTTGAATGTCTGTTGGGGGACCAACAAAATAAAGTGTTAGCTGATATTAAGCAGACAGTCTACTAATCCTCTAATGATAGTTAGTTGACATGTAGCGGCAAAGTTACTTATAGTTAGTTGAATGTCTAAAGTGGACTATCAAAATAAAGTGTTACCAAATAATAAATGTGAGTGAACTCTGTATAATTAATTTGTACAAGTAAATATACACACATATGCATGTATATATTAGAAATTTTGCATGTAGATACATTTATACATGATGTATAGCAGTTGCTCATTATCCTTTAAAGAGACATGCACTGAAACGGGTCGCTGTGAACAGAGCTGTTTTTGAGGAGGTAGAAAGGGTGTTGTTTTACACAACCATTGAGGAATTTTAACCAAAGTATGTTACAAACTTTGAAGACCCTAAAGAATCATACCAACTTGTTGAAAATGGGCATCCGATGACCCCTTTTATGAATGTGTTGTGAAGGAGCGTTTTTGTGAGAAGTTCTCCTGTGCGTACAAATACGAAATAATCCAAGCAATTAGAAAAGACCCATTGCCCCTCCAGAAGCAGGACTGGACAAATACCCCTGGTCTTAAAGGGATAGTTCACTTTGAAATTAATTTTTGAGATGTTTTAACTTACCTCAAGGGCATCCAAGATGCAGGTGTCTTTGTTTCCGCAGTAGTTTCAATTTTGATATTTTTTGGTCAATCTGTTGATGTCTATCAGTCATATAATGCAGGTTTAGGGGGTCCACGTCAAAGAGCATGCACAGAGAAGTCAAAATTAAACATGATTGAATGACTCGTAAATGTAAGTACACATTGATGGCCCAACATGACATCATGACTTTTGCGTAAACATGCACGCCACTTTCGAGTGGCGTGTTATCTCTACGCGTTTTGAGCTATCCGCGTGTATGTCTATGCCATTAACGTCCGAGTGATTCCGTGTGTCTGTACACGCCGTCAAATGTCCGCGCGAAACGAAGCAAAATGTAGATCTACATCTGGGGAGCTTTTTTTTCCTAGGATGGTAAGGGAACAGTCATAAATGCCATTAACCCCAGTAACGGTTAGGTTTAGGGACGGGGTTGAGGTAAGTCATATATTTATATATACAGTAATAACGTTAAGTCAACGGCGTTCATAAACACGCTGAAAAGCGATTATGCGTCTTGATAGCACGCCAAAAATGGAAATACGAATTGGCGTGTCATACACACTACTTCATGAGATCAGTCTGGATGGCCTAAGACACGAAACGAGCGGTTTGTGTGAGAAAACGAACAGTATTTATATCGTTTTTACCTTGTGTATTCACAGTCACGTCCAAGTGATCTGAATCAGTTGTCCAATGTTCAGCTAAACCATGTTTACCGTTCCGCCGGAAGTGATCGCTTGCGCGTGTACATCACTCATTGTTTACACAGAGATTTTGGAAGTTTTACCTTTCACTAAACATATTTAGATATATCGAAATCGTCTTCCATTGCGTTTTGCTGTATATCTAAATACGTTTAGATCTTCACAGTGAAAGATAAAACTTCTGAAATCTCTGTGTAAACACTGAGTGACGTACACGCGTAAGCGATCACTTCCGGCGGAACGTTGGCAGTGGTGGAGGAAGTACTGAATCTCAGTACTTAAGTAAAAGTACAAATAAACAGATAAATATTTACTTTAGTAAAAGTAGAAGTAACACAATGACAAACATACTTAAGTAAAAAGTAAAAAGTACCTGATTTTAAATGTACTTTAAGTTTTAAAAGTAAAAGTACTTGCATAACAATTTCTTCTTTTAATGTTTATTTTTTTCTAATGATTAATAAAACATTTAATTCTAACTTGTTCCACCTAATACTCCTATAATGATGTTCGATAATTATGGAAAAAAATTGTTGTCACCATTTCTGAAACAAGCTTGCAATTAGGCAATATGCACATCATGCTTATCCTTACTATATGTTAATAACTATGTTTGGCAGTAAACATGATTCATTTATGGTGTAATTCTGAACCTCTTGGCTTGCCATAATCCTAACCAAACGAATATTACACGGTGCATTTCCTATGCACGTAAAAACAAATTTTCACGTATAAATTGCACGATAAACATACTGCGTGCAAGACGCATATAGTGTGACTGGGTTAATATATCTATGGCAACCAAATGTCATTGGTGAGACAAACGTGCAACGAACGGACGGTCAGATTACGTTTTGGCAGGGGAAAACCTGATCAGAAAATGTAATGGAAAAGTAACAGAAGTTGTAGAAATGTAGTGGAGTAGAAAGTATAATAATTGCTGTAAAATGTAACAAAGTAAAAGTAAAAAGTATGCACTATTTATTCTACTTAAGTAAAGTAAAGATACATGAAAAATGTACTTAAGTAAAGTAACAAAGTATTTGTACTTCGTTACATTCCACCACTGAACGTTGGACATGGTTCAGTTGGACATTGGACAACTGATTCAGATCATTTCGACATAGCTGTGGTTACACGAGGTAAAAACGATATAAATACTGTTCGTTTTGTCACACAAACCGCTCTTTTTGTGTCTTAGGCCATCAATATGTACTTAAATTTACGAGTCATTAAATCATGTTTAATTTTGACTTCTCTGTGTATGCTCTTTGACGTGGACCCCTAAACCTGCATTATATGACTGATAAACATCAACAGTTTGACCGAAAAATATCAAAATTGAAACTACTGTGGAAACAAAGACACCTACACCTTGGATGCCCTTGAGGTAAGCTAAAACATATCAAAAATTAATTTCAAAGTGAACTATCCCTTTAACCATTTTCCCCTTTTCCAGTTGAGCTACAACCCTCGACCGTCCTGTTGGAGACCCTGCAAACAGACACTGACGACAGGACAACAGGGAACAAGTCCTCCTGCATGAAGTGTGGAGTCCACTTTACCACCACATCAAACCTGCGACGGCACGAAAGGCTCCAGCACTGCCAGGACCAGCAGCCCATGCTATGCGTAGATGCCAAAAACGGCATCTATGTCACACCCAAGGACACACACGGACCCAGAGTGCCCGTTCATATCCAGAAATCCTTCTCCTTACAGATCCTGCTCTGTGAGCTGGAGGAATGCTGGGATTTCATGAAAGCGCAGGCGCAGAGAGGAAACCCAGGGAGAGAGTGCCGTCACCTGATAAGGACGAACCTCGCTCGCCCCTACACGCCCCCCCCGCCGCTGTGTGTGCACTCTCTTGAGGACATGACATGCAAACACCTGCTGTCCACACCACACACACAGCAGTGCCAGGAGATACACTCCCGGGCGGGTTTGGACGGGGTCGATTGCGTGTACCCCATTTTCTGGGGTGGGCATGAGCTCTCCGAGAGATGCATGTACTTCTCTGTGTACACCGGCCTTAAGGACAAATGGTGTCAGTTCGGGAGGACGCGCGTGACGTTTGACACCAGGTCCGGCATCTGGAAGTGCCTGTGTGACTTCGGGAGGAGCCGCTGCGTACACAAGTGCTTATCCATGTGGTGGCTCTTCCAGGAGCGTCCCGAGCTGCTGGGAAACGCCCTGGAGACGAGCGCCGATGATGTGGGGGAGCTGGAGGAGGAGGAGGAGGAGGAGGAGGTGGAGGAGGACGACGGGGTTCAACTGTGTCCAGAGGAGGGGGACATCTGCTAGTGTCATCCGTCACAACTACAGTCTCCGTCAAGACGGCACAACATTCTTGGTGTCTACAGTCAGTAACAGCACTGGCCATACCCTCGTATTTTGTTAACTGTTGGTTCGTAAAAATGTGTATGATGTTGCTACACTCATCTTCTTAAAGGGATAGTTCACCCAAAAATGAAAATTAACCCATGATTTACTCACCCTCAAGCCTTCCAAGCCATCCTCCATCCTTCTTTCAGACGAACACAATCAGAGGGGAGGGGGAGGGGGGCATCTATCCATGATAAAAGTACATCTATCCATGATAAAAGTGCAAAAGTGCATCTATCCATGATAAAAGTACATCTATCCATGATAAAAGTGCAAACGTGCATCTATCCATGATAAAAGTGCAAAAGTGCATCTTTCCATGATAAAAGTACATCTATCCATGATAAAAGTGCAAAAGTGCATCTATCCATGATAAAAGTACATCTATCCATGATAAAAGTGCAAAAGTGCATCTATCCATGATAAAAGTACATCTATCCATGATAAAAGTGCAAAAGTGCATCTATCCATGATAAAAGTGCAAAAGTGCATCTTTCCATGATAAAAGTACATCTATCCATGATAAAAGTGCAAAAGTGCATCTATCCATGATAAAAGTACATCTATCCATGATAAAAGTGCAAAAGTGCATCTATCCATGATAAAAGTACATCTATCCATGATAAAAGTGCAAAAGTGCATCTATCCATGATAAAAGTGCAAAAGTGCATCTTTCCATGATAAAAGTACATCTATCCATGATAAAAGTGCAAAAGTGCATTTATCCATGATAAAAGTACATCGATCCATGATTAAAGTACATCTATCCATGATAAAAGTGCATCTATCCATGATAAAAGTGCATCGATCCATGATTAAAGTGCATCTATCCATAATAAAACTACATCTAATAAAAAAGTAAAATGATAAAAGTACTTTAATCATGGATGGATGTACTTTTATTATGGATAGATGCACTTTATCACATATAGATGCACTTTATCATGGACAGGTGCACTTTTATGATGGATAGATGTACTTTTATTATGGATAGATAAACTTTTATCATGGATAGATGTACTTTTATCATGGATAGATGCACTTTTATGGACTTCCAAAAAAAACATTCACTCCCATTATAAAGCTTGAAAAGCCAGGATATTTTTTAATATAACTCTCATTGTGTTCGTCTCAAAGAAGAAAGTCATATACACCTAGGATGACCTCAGGCTGAGTCAATCATGGGCTAGTTTTTGGGTGAACTATCCCTTTAATTATATATTTTACATTTGTGGTGAAAATGGTTTTTATGAGATTTAAAACCCTAATGACATTTGAATCTGACTACACACAATTTGTCTGAGCGAAATGTGTGATCATACTTTCAAGGCCAAGTCCAATAACAATTTCAGAAAACTTTAAATTAAACGTTTTGGATCTGTAAGATTTTTAATGTTTTAAAAGAAGTTTATTCCTGTGATAAAGCTGAATTTTCAGCATCATTACTCCAATATTCAGTGCGACATGATCCTCCTCCTTCCGTTGACTGTTAGTGTGTGTTATTATATTTGTGGTGACAAGGTTTTATTATGAGATATACTCAGATTAAACCATTATGACATTTAAATCTGATTACACACAATTTGTGAGAGCAAAGCGTGTTGTCATTCTTTCAAGGCCAAGTCCAATAACAGTTTCAGTAAACTTCAAATCTAGGCCTTATGAGACATAATTTCATGCGACACATCTAACGAGTGATTTATGCAAAGCATTGATGCACTGAACTTTGGTGAGTTTACAAATGCGCTGGTTTAGTTTGGTCAGATTTTACACTACTTTATGTAAATTATGTTCAGTATTAAGATTTTGCATGTTTATATTTAGACAGCAAAGTCTATAATAAAGACATTAAAGGAGTATAGGCTCAGTGGATGCTCAAGTTTTATGCAGTAGGCCTATATGTTTCTGGTTCAAGGTAAGGTCAAAGCAGGATCAGGATGGAGAATGGATCAGAATGGAAGAGAACATTTAAGTTGTGTCGATTTAAATTTTTCATTCACGTGATGTCTGAAGATACTTTTACATTCAACTTTTCCACTTAATTAAAACAAGAAATCATGGACAGTTATATGGTAATCCAGTGACATTCTACTTTTCCACTTAATTTAAACAAGAAATCATGGACAGTTATATGGTAATCCAGTGACAGTCAAGTTTATTTATTTAAAAAATTACAGTGGACTACCAGTAAAATGTATAAAACAAATTTGGGACACTTCGACTTGACCATGTTTTTCTTTATTTGCTAACGCGACCTTTTTACACCAAAGGCTGAACAACATTGGGTTTGGTAATTTGTTTCTAACCCTAACCTATTGCTTGGTGATTTGTTGACCTATTATCTAACTGTGTAGTTAAATTTATTAGCTGACATATATTCATCATAATTCATCTGTGAGACAGTCTTAACAGAATGACAGACAAAACCAGTGAAATATCAGCTGATCTGATAACTTGAGTTCTGCTCATATTTTAATGCAATTTTCTAAACTGTAGCGAATAAGTCGTGATAATGTGAGACATGTTGAGGGTGTCTGAATACATTTCGGTTTGACTGTACAAAGCAAACGTTTTTTTGTTTTGTTTTTGAAAACGAATCCTTTACAATCAAGGTAAAATGTTTTAAATATGTTTTTATATTAGTGTTGAGCAGAATCCGTACCGTAGATGTGTCATAAACTGCACACTATCGTGTGTGTGAAATTGTGTAGAATGCAACACTTTCAAACATCAAAGGATTGTGCGCTTATGATGCGCGCATGCGCAGATCATATTCCTCCCGAGCAAGACCAGCACTGGTGAGAATAAATTCATTATCTTATCGCCTTCACATATGCACAATTCCTGTCATGCTATTTAGACACGATCGAAATATAAAGATTGCTTGGCATACATATATGGACACCTATAGGCTAATGACGCGCGTTTTATCTAGAATGTGTCCTAATACAATTATTAAAATAACCCCTAATTAGCAATTAAACTGAGGTTGCCATGAAATTAAAACAGTTTTAACAGTGCGCATCTGTCTTTTCCTTCTAAACACCCGGGAATCGGATGCTCCTCATAAAGCAGTGTTTCGGTCCAGATCGGGATGGAGTAATAGCTAACGGTTCAGTGGTTCGCCTACTTTAGTTCACTGACCACAGCGCCATTTTACACTGCTAGAGTAAGGAACATTTGGGGAGCTGAGAGGATGCGCTGGGAATTATGCTTTTTGAATGGGAATTTTCTTATTCCATCAAATCCTTAACACTATCTCTTTATGGTTTGAGCATCCTCACCATCAGTTTATGCATTATGCCTAATCATCACCATCATTATATTGAGCATAACACCATCACTTGTGCTTCAGCTTCATCATCATCATCACCAAAATTAGTTTAAGGATTATGCATGATCAACGCCGTCAGATTATGGATTATTATGCATCTCTATCATAATCTTGTTCGTCAATTTGGCTGAGCATCCTCATTATTTGTGCTTCATCTTTGTTATTATGTTTCACTTTTGTGAAGAAATATCCTTTTAAATGACTCTTCTGATAAACAGCGGCATTTGAAATATACTTGTCATTACTATTAATATCATTTGTAATTCTTTTTATAGACTATAGTACTTAATAATTAAAAAAAACAGTCATTTATATACGTTTCCCTTGGCCTTGAAAAAAGGAAAGTAATGGATTAGTCTTGATTTTTCTGTAATTTAATGAGTTACTTTTTATAGACTTTTTATAATTCTATATAAAACAATAGTGGATTTAACATCAAAATTTTATATCTAATGTTAAAATGTATGTTTTTAATCTAACCTTCTCCCTGTAGCTCTCAATCAGGTCATGGGGTCTACACGACCCCAATCGACTTTTACTTAATAAAAAAAAGGTTCCCTTTATCTCAGTGATTTTGTGACTTATACATTATCTATACACACAAAAAAAACTGGGCTTGATTCGGTTGTTCTGAAGATATGTAAAAAAAAAAAATGTTTACACTTCTGGTCTTCGGGGTCAATATGACCCCACATTGAAATGAATGGGAAATGTGAAAAAAACTAAATATATTTTCTTCATGTGTCAAAAAAAAAAAAAAATCAGGCATAAATCTGAAAATTTTTACACAGAAATGAAGGCCTAGTACTAGAGCATAAATGCGTATCATAAAAAAAAATAATATTTCATATGCAAGCTAATGGTGTAGTTGAGTTATTGTGTGGTATATGGATACAAAAGTACTTTATATCTCCAAAAACACAGCATTAATGAATAGATGAGAAGTAAACAAAAAAAAAATGATATATTATTTGTATAATTAAAAATGTATATTGTTGTTGTTGGGGTCGTATAGACCCCGAAGCCCAGAAGTGTAAACAGGAAACGAAGACCATTTGAAGGTTAAATACTTTGGTCAGTTCAAGAATAATTTATGCAATTTTATATTATTGAAAGAATTAAAAGAGCCGTTTCATGTAGTTCAGGTGAATGAGATTTGGGATGTAATTTGTGAGTAATGCAATTTTAGAGGAGCAATTAGTACAGTAATCTAATTACACTGTTGAAGAAATTGACTAGTTTTTTTTTTTTTAGAGTAACTTCCCGAAAACTGCCTACCCTACATACTGTTGCTAAAAAACTAATCCCTGTCCTTATTTCTCTCTGGTCAGTGGTTCTGAGCAAATCTTGCTATGAGTGCCAAAGCAGAGCTGGACATCCCGCCGCACGATGCTGACGCTCCCTCTGAGAGCAGCCTCCCGCACGCTCACACCGACGGCTCCTCGCACCGCCTCAAATCCCACGATACTGCCACTATCATCTTTCCAGGTATTTAGATCAGTAACGTAATTTAATGATATCTAAAACTTTTAAAAATATTGTTTTGATTTTTTTTTCTTTTTTAAAACATGACTAAAAAAAGTATTTGGCTGTCCAAGATAGAGGGTTTGAGCTTGAGAATTGATCCACTATTTATATTTTCTTACAGTATATCTCACTAAACTATTGTTTAGAACTCCACATTAAAAATTTGTAGATAAAACTGGCATGAACATAAAATCAATTTCGGTCTACTTTT